AGGAAAAGAAACTACAGTTGCAGCAGAAAGTGGACCAGACCAGAGCTGAGGTATGGAGAAAAAGCCTGTCTCCCACCTCTCGGTGGGGCCCCAGGCCTTTTTTTGTAGCAAAGCAGAGCAGGGAACTGATCCTTCCTCGGGAGTTTTGTGTAACCCAGGGTGGTTCAGTGCACGGCTAGCTGTGATGAGGGGGCTGGGAGGGAACAGCACTGCTGCCTGTGGTGCCTGCCTGTTTGCACAGCTTGAAGGAACAGCACAGGGCTGCACTGAGGTGCTCTTAGTACACTAGACAACTTTGCAATAGGAGTAGATTGAGTGAAGTGTAAGTGACTCGCCTTGTTTTATAAGCCTGGCGCCTGCGATTAGAAAGGTCACTAAGTGCAAAATCACTTTGTCCTTAATTAGGGGAGACAGGGTGCGCGGAGTATATGCCTTTCAAAAAGCTGCTTCTCAAGTTTCACGGAACACGTCTGCTTGCTGCTTCTCTTGGGTTTGGCAAAAACGGAGTGTATGCTGAAATAGAAAGAGCAGGCATACTGGAGTGGTGTGCTGGTGCTTTTTTGTATTCCCGCATCACGTCATCGTTGTTACAGAGCTGTAAAGTCACTTCAGGAGCAGGAGGAGCTTCTAACCCTGTTGCAGTAGCCAACAAGTGGCTACAAAGAGCGCTCAGAGTCCTTGAGAGAGCAGGAGGAGTGTTCCGGCAGTGTTTAGGAACCGCTGTAGGAAATCAGTGTAGACGCAGGAGAGGGGCCAGGCTAAAAGATGAAGAAGTAACATGGGTTCTGAGAATCAATGTGAGAGTCAAAGCAGTCCACTGCTTTTTATCAAAGCTAAGCTGATCCTGGGGATTCTTGTTGTGGTTTGACAGCTGCAGGAATTGAAAGAACGGTGTATCCGGAATGAGTGTTATGCTGAGTCCCTGAGGAACACCATAAAGGATAAGGAGAGGAAACTAACCTCCTGCAGGACCCTGCAGGACCCTCTGGCTGCATCTTCTGGAAGTGCAGCTATCCCAGAGCTGCGAGAACACCTACAACGGTAAGGAAGTAACGGACTGTCTTCTTGCATCCCAACGCGATCAAAATACGTGACTTTCAACAATGCTTTTGTTTTCGATGAGGTTCTTTCACACTCTTCGTTTGGGATTTGTGCTCTTGTGGGCTTCTGCGAGAAGGCCTGTACTTCTTTTTCAGGCTCAAGGTTAAAACGGCCAGGCTGGAAGTCACAGCCCAGGGACAAGCCAAGACCATCAAAGCCCTTCAGAAAGACCTGTAAGCCTCTGCCTCAGTAAGCTAGTTGGGAGCCTTCCCTCTTGATGAGCTCACATTCAATCTCGCAAGGTGCTTCTATGCAGGACCTTATGCTTTTAAAAAGCTGCAAAAGGCCTTGCAAAGGCAGCCCACCTGCACTTCTCCTGGGAGGGAAGAAAGTCTCTTCTTCCCTGTGCTGGAGGCCTGGCTGTTCTCAGTAATTCCTGGCCTGTCAAGCATGTTACAGACAAAGCAAGCCATGGCTTGTGCTGCTTACCCAAGAGCAGCTGAAAAAGGCTGACTGCTGCTTTGCTTCACGATTTCCCTTCTTATTTGCTGTGCAGGTTGAAGACACTTCTGGAGGGATCTCAAAGCCAATGGCATATGCAGGGAGCAAGAGAGAGTTCTGGCTCCACTTCTCAGGGAGAGATGAAGAACAGCTGTTCTGAGGTGGCCAATGAAGTTGGTAAACTAGGAGGAAGGGTAAGCTCTGGTTTGTTTGGTGGATTTAAGGAGATTTTTTTTTTTTCCTGATGGAACCTGTATGGTTCTTTTCCCATACTTTTTTTCTGTGTTGCTCATTATCTGTTGGCTGTATTTTCCAACTGATGGCCTTCACTTGATGCTCCTGCTGCTGTTGTAGCAAGAGATTCTGATGATGATGGATGCAGTTACCACGATGGGTAAAAACCATGAGCCAGAAGTCCCAGCAGGGCTGCTAAGGTCAATGGCCTTGCCAACCGAGATGCAGTTCCAGGGGTCCCGAGTGGGAAGAGGGGAAGCTGGTCACCATTCATTGAGATTTTAATACATTTTAATAAATTTTAATACTGTGTCAGCAGGTAATGAATCCAGTCTCGATGGCCCCCTGCCTTATGGATTTCCACAAAAGTGAGTAACTTCATAGCTCTCTCTTTGAGTTCCTTTTTTTTTTTGCTGCCTACAAAAGTTAGTGACATTTCCCAACAGCTGGAGATGCAGTCGAAAAAAACCATGCAGCAGGCAAGACAAAACCAGGACCTGCAAGAAAAGTGGGACGCAGGAAGAACCAGGGCTGAACCTTGGTCATCGGAGACTAGCATGGTGGGTCACAGACAAATACAGCAGTCTAAGAGAGAGGGCAGAAAGAGCTGGACAAGAAACAAGGCAAAAAGCACAAGAAGTGGATCCTTATCTCCATGTGACATGTAACTAACACAGCCTTTTCTTTTCCCACCCTTCCTCAGTCACAGCTGAAGCTCCCACACAGTTAGTGATGAGAAGATGCTGCAGCAGAGGAAGCGCCAGCAGACAGCCCTCACAGGGAGATGAAGGAAGCCTGGAAACCTTTGCCTTCTACCTTGTGCAGCCCCAACCCTGCATCTAACTCCAAGTGTTCTGTTGCAGCTTGGTGTTTAATAAACTGTGTCACCTAGTACGGGTCTTAGTCTTGCTGCGCAATTGGAGCCCTTTGGACCCAGGGGGTTTGGCTGAGGAGGGTCCTGTTTTTGAAGGCTCACTCAGGCTCTCTTCCTATGCAGGCAGCAGCACGTGTCTCTCTCTGCCCTCACTCTGAATGAAAATCAGTCCTACAGCTGTCTCCGAGAGGGAGCATGCATCCACGTCCTTTTGCTCTGGGGAGGCTTGAACCATGATTGTGCTCAGACCTGGGACCAGCCCTGAGCTACTTGCTAACCATCAGTCGCCAGACTCTCCCTGCCTCTTAGAGCAATCCTCCTGGTGGTCTGGGCAGAAGGCGGTGAGCGAGCTCCTGGTAGCCATGGAAGATTTGCAGATCCCACAAGGATCTCGTGGAGTTGCAGCCCACGGAGGGCAATGGTGTGAAGAAGTGGGCACAAGCTGGAACAGGGGCAATCCCAGCTCAACCTAAGGATAAACCTTTTCTCTTGTGAAGGTGGCAAGACTGGTGTCAGGGAGCAGTGCAGGCACACTGCTCCCTCAGGGACAGGGAGCCAAAGTGGGTCCAGCAGGGCAGGGCCCAGCCTCGGCCTACTCGAGCGAGGGGAGCAGGGTGGGCAGCTGAGAGCCCAGAGAGACGGAACAAGGGCCTGGTGAGGCGGCAGCTCTGAGGGCAAGCCAGGATGTCAGGCCAGGCCAGGCTGGGGTTCAGGCCCAGTGGAGGCCAGCAGGGTCAGACGCAGCCCAGTGGTGGCCAGGCAGGGCCACAGGGAGGCCAAGGGCAGGCCGGGGGGCTGGAGCAGCCAGGTCCATGGCCAGGCACAGCTGAGCCAGAGCTAGAGACAGGGACACCATAACAGAGCTCAGGCAGGGCCTGGAGGCCTCTCTCTCCGCCTCAGTGGGCCTCCTGCACCCGAGGGCTGGAAGCCCCAGCTCAGCCTGCTCATGGCTTCTTTGTGCCGCAGAGAGCTTGCGGAGTCTCTGTGCTTCGAGGTGCTCCAAACCAGACAAGGCTATGTGCGACCTTTCGTCTTCCTGGGGCTACATGCAACAGACAACTGCAGACTGGATCCAGCATCTCCAGGCACAGAGATGTCAACAGCCTTCTCAGACACCAAGTCATGATGTCATATTGGTTTCCAACCCCCAGCTTGAGACCTGGAAGTGAAGAACCACCATCATGCTCCAGGTCTGTCTGGGCAGCACCGGAAGCTGCCAGCTACCGAGGTCCGCCTGACCCACTCCCCATCTCTTCAAATGCAAGGAGATAGCTAGCCAGGCATTACGACATTGACGAGCCACTCTTCACAAATATGCCAAAGCACATTTGGCAAAACCAGATGGAAATAATGCTCCTCCTCTCCGGGCCATCACCTTTCACATTCATGAATGTCAACGGGTATCTGGGCTCTAAAACCAAAACGGCTTTTGGAAGATACCAAAAGTCTCTTCAAACAGTAAATTGGACCCATTCTTCACATAACTGAGAATGAGAGCTCTGCCAAGGCAGTAAACTCCCAGTGAAGGCCATGGACATACGCAGCAGTAAGCTCCGTGGTGACGTGTAAGCAGATGAAATCTGGGTGCTTAGCAGTCCATTCAACGACTGCACAATCCCTGGGTGCAGCACTTGCCCTGATATTGGGGGGGGGGAGCAGGGGGAGAGACAGCTCCAGTGACAGAGAGCACCATACAGGACCAGACTGGTTCTGGCCTCCCCTCCTCTCCACCATCAGGTAGCTGCTAGGCTTTATATAGCTTCTGAACTCCAGAAGCATTTCACACAAAGCATTTCAAAAAGTCTGACTCGGGATCTCTCCTCTAGTTGGTAGCAGGTATCACAAAGGAACAACATATCCCAACAAAGGCAATTATTTTTGTCCCTGTGTGGCTTGCACTGGTTGCACCCAGCATGTGGGCGTTAGTGCCAGAAGCACCCAGTGAAAGCACAAAGGTCTTTTCTCCATGCAGGAGACGTTCTTGGCACATCACTGCCCCAGCCACCCTCCATGTTTTGCAGCAACAACTGAACAGAGCACAGGAATTAAGTGCGAGAGAATATTTTCTTTTTATGGAAAAAACCCCAAAACAAAGCAAAACACAAAAAAGCACATCAACAAATGCTATACTGAAAGAATACTCTGGTTTCACACTGGCCTTTCCAGTTTGAGCCATCTTATCACCATGCCCTGCGCTGCCTCATGCATGCCTCCTCCAGCCTCACCTTCTTCGGCAGAACCCCGGACGTCATCCCAGCAGCCTTCTAGCCACATGCTACTCAAGGCTCCCTAACGGAGGGAGTCCAGCTGCCACAGTGGGTCAGTGG